CCCTTGATTAAAATAACATCAGTCATTAAGCAGCATTCTGAGAAAGCTTCATATTTTGAACTGCAATGTTTGTGATGTCTCCCCATCCACAGCATTGCTTCCTTTCACAAACAAGCCAGGGAAGCACAACCTAGATGCAATCACTGGGAAATGGAGGGCACCATCCTCTGAAACAATATTAAGAGTTAGCAGCAGTTTGCAATAAAACTGAGAAGGTACCCCAGCTGAGGTCATGCAGAGCCAATCATTAATGAAATGGCATTTGACACCTGCATTATCTGCTTGGATGATGAAGTAACAAGGATATCTATAATTCACAGTTTACTTTTGGCAAAGGCAAACACTTTGAAGGGCAAGATTCAAAACCATCTTGCTTTGGAGAAACTAACAAAATGAAAATAACTACACTTAGGAAGGCGTAATCAAATACAGAGATGGTAAGTATGCTTCCCATGGAATAAATGCCTAGATGCTTTTCAGGGGCTTACAGCAACCATGCAATTAGTACAAGTAAGGCAGTGCTGTTGTGAAAAGAACTACTCTTATCTGTATCACACTACAGCAGTCTGCATCAGTAGGCAGCCAAAGGCTGAGGGGAGAACACTCAGCCTAGATTCATTACACCTGGGCAGCCTCATTAGCCCAGGGCCTCATAAGGCACTCAGGTTTCCTGACATTCAGAGAAATGGAGTACTTTGTTTTCCTTTCTATTCTTTGAAGAAAAGGGTGGTTCTGCAAAACTGACTCTGACAAATGACTTCAGTTCAAGAAAGAAGATTTAAAATTGATAAAAGGTAAGCAGTAAAGAAATGTACTGTGATGGAAGTTTATGGTAGGCAAGGAGGAAAGAGGTGACAGTAATAGTTTTGGGAGTAAATAGAAGTGGTGGCAGTCTAGGACTGGATGCTTTCAAAACTGCTATTTACATGGATTATTTGTGACAGAATATCTCTGTAATATAGGGAGGATAATTATTCTGCTCTACTTGGTGCTGATGAATCCTCTAGCTAAAATATTGTCTGGTCTCTGGCAATAAACTGTAAAGTACACAAATGGGAGAGATTCCAGAGGATTGCAAGAAGACTAAAAGACTTAATCTATAAGAAAGGCTGAATAGCTATTGTTATCCCTATTAAAGAGAGAGGACTAGTAGCAAGGAGTGCAAGTATCTCAAAATGTCCACAGGGAACTGTGATTAAGACTGGAATATGTTGATTACACATACTGAAGACTTACATTAGACACCAGGGAAACCAAGCTTGAAGGAATAACTAAACACTCAGGTGGCATATCTAGAAAAACCAGCATTCCTGCTGTTGGAGAGTTCCTAGTTCATTAGGTGAAAATCAGCTAGGCAGTCATCTAGCTCTATTTAATCCTAATGCTCCTCCCAGCTCTACACATCTGTAGATGTGTAACTTATGTCATTGTATTACAGGAGAGAATAACACTAAAACAGTTCTTAAGAAAATTCTACTGTCCAATAGTCACCCTAAAGAAACTCTAAGTAAATAACTTAGATGTAGACGCTCAGTGTAAGTAAAAGACCTTGCCTGAAGACCATACTGTCAGCTGTGGTGACAAAACTAAATGAAAGCTACTCATGAACCCAAAGACCCAGTCACAGGTTGATATCTTCTCCCAGTCTGTATTCTTGAGGTCCTCCTCTAAGGAAAGATTAGAGGAGTCAGTCCTGTGTACTGCTATTGTTCTCACAAACTGGGCCCCACAATCTGAGGGAGTCAGAGATGGAAATTTGATCAGATTGCGAACTATATTAAAGAAAAACCTTCCCATTAATCTTCCTAAATGTGAAGATTGGAAAATGAGATGCATGGAATAACTCAAAGCACAGTGCTTTGCAAAGGATTTAAGACAGCAATTCTACCAAACTTTTTTCTGCATTCTGAAAATACTGTTTAAATATAAGTTAAAGTTAAAACCTACTTCCCCCACAGGAAGATTTTTTTTTCATCCTACAACTAAAAGGGTAAATTTTCAAAGCAAGGCTAAAACAAACTTAGCAAACATGTTGCCTAAGGGGCCAGACTGAAAGATTAAATCCTGTAGAAAATGTCCAAGGCCAAGAATTCCTATGTTTGAGCAACACTCTTTACTCATCAGTAAAAAAATAAGCATTAGACAATAGGCCTGAAAGAGCAACAAGTTTCTTTTCACAAAGCAGAACATTCAACTGTGAAATCAGCTGCCAGAGGCCTCTCTGAACACCAAGCCTACTTATTGTCAAAAAGTATGAGATTTACGGAGAGGTTAGTGTGATTACTGATGGCTATTTAGCACTGTGGTTCTGAAATAAAGCCTGGCTCAGGAAGTTTTTAAATCCTGCATGCTCTAGTATATGATACTACAAAAAAGGGCACTTAATTCATGCTGTTACAGATTCTTCTATAAACTAAAATTAGTGACCTCTCCTCCTGAAAATGTACTTCTCATTTTGCAAAGCTCCTTAAGATTTTTTACAGATTTTTTAACTGTATTAAGTTATTCCAATGACCTTGACCATTTTCACCAACTTCCGAAGTCTATGCCCAATTTTTCTTTTTTTTATTTTCTGTCAAATATTCTCCTTGAATTCCAAGCCAAATCATTGAAAAGCCACCACTCAGTCTGTCTAGTGCTTTATTTGGCTCTGAAACAGGTCACAAAAACAATTTTATGAATCTTTTTGTCTGTTAGACAATCTGATGCAGTAACTAATTTTGTGCCAAAGTTCTATTTAAAACCATAGCTTTGGCCTGATCTTATAAATCACCTATATTCATCTCCAAAGAACTTAAGACCCCGTGACTTTTCTAAAACTGAGAAGACCAAACTCAGGACATCTTTTGCAGACAGTATTATTTTTAAAAGCCTCAAACATATGAATTTATTGTCAACTGCTCAGACACTTAATTTCAAGGAAAATAAATTTTACAGATAGAAACCAGGTAAATCTGAAGTAGTTTTTAGGAACCTGAGAGTGTGTGCCCAGTGTTTCTTTCAACAGTGCACATCCTTTAGCAGTAAATTGGTATTTATAATTCATTTCACTATTTTTCAGTAAGCTGCAGTCACCTTTGCTTCTAACAAATCTTTCTTACAAATTTGAACTTACTGCTCCAAATAAGGACAAAAAGATTGAAAGATACATTTATATTGAATATCAATTTTTTATGAACTACAGAACAGACAAGAAGGTGCTGAGAACAAGCTCCACAGCCCCATCTGTTGGCTAATGAAGCTCCCAAAACCATCCATCAGCCCCTAGCCAATAATGAAGTAGAACCAGTTTATTTTTTGGATAAAATTCCAGGTTTTACTATCTATGGCATCTGTGTACCAGTAGCAACTATCACTATCCAAGCACATAGTAACTGAGTTTCTAACACACTTCTGTGATTTTTTTCACTTAGTTCCCCTAAATTAGGCTGCATACTTTCTGAGTCAAAATCTAATCCCCTACCACAAGTAAATATGCTACTTCTAGGATATGTTAAGTTGTCATTCAAACTCTAATGGCAGTTAAACTGTATCACAGTACCACTGAAATTTGGGTATCCTGCACTAAAATTTGATTATCCAAAATAAAGTTTCAGGCTAATTGCTATATTTAAAAAGCTCTTTAGAGGAAAGAGAATTCACAAAGAATATTAGTAATGCAGGATCATCTGACTCAATTATGGTCTTTTCATTCCAAAAATGCACTTTCCTTTCAAAGGACTAAACTCTATTCCTGCTCAGGCCACAGTCGTAGCAAGCCATCTGCAGGACCTTTAAAAAGATATTGGCTGCTGGGCAGTTTTGCTCATTCATAGCTTTCCATCCTATTATTCAAAAGTCCATAAAATAAATGGACTCCATACCTCTTGTCTACGAACCTTCAGGACTCCTATGGTCAATAAAGCAGTTTTTCTGCAAGAAGAGCTACAGAACCAGTCCCCTTTATGCTGGAAACAATGTATGTATGCTAGGCTGGGGGGAACGGCTGTGAAGCTGAGATTTTGGGGCTTGGTAGCAAAGAAGCAAACTGCAAGAGAGCTACTCTGTTTAAATCAAAAGCTGAGATGACCAAAACAGATAAATGAAATGCGTAAGGACAGATGAAAAGGAAAGAGTCATGAGAGGTCATGAATCACATCTAGCTTTGACAAGCTTTATTTAAATAGATTCTACACCCATATCACAGGGACGTGCTAGAAAACAATGCAAATCTAAGCAGTGGTGCGGCAGACAGGCTTCATAGTTAAACTCAGTGCTCAAAATAACTGAAGTTTATTTTAATCCACTCTCTAATATGGTGCCAATATAACCTACAGATGTGAAACTCACCAAAACAGAATTTTAGCATGTAAAAAAAGCACAGCATTGCCCTGTTAACTATCTACTTATGGTATTTACAGACAGCAATTGATTAAAAACTTATTGAAACTGAGTGTAACTATGTTGCTTTAGAAATAATGTGCAGCCCTGTGTGAGTTATGTGTGGAATCAGTATCCCAAAAATGATGTTTTAAAAGTACTGCAGAGGTGAGAAAGTACATGCATTTCCAGATTATTTCTTGGAAAAATAGAGAACTCATAAATGTCTATTAAGGTATAGCTTAGAATTTTCCCAATTTTTCAAAGAGTTGCTCTTTAAATGTATTTTTATATAATTCTATTTTAATACACTTAGAATGGAGAACTGTTCTCAGATTTTGTATAATATATAAACTCCCCCTCGGTATTCTGAGAACCTTTGTGAGGGCTATTTCCCAGCAGTGAGTGGATTCTGCTCCTTTCCTAGAGCAAGCACTTGTATTAGCTAGGAAGGAACAGCAGAGGCCCTACAAGGGCAGTAGTGCACCCAGACAAGCGAGAGACAAAGGTTCAGATGGTGATGTTTGCTCTTCAATCGACAGGTTGGAAATGCCTTGTGTGCACTTCATTCAACACACAGACACTACGTGAGATGACTTTAAAGCAATCTATCAGGGATCACACCCAGGTCCTTAACTTACCCCTCCCATTGTGATGCCATCAATAAGTGCCACATATGGCTTCTTGCAGGTGCCTGTAAAAAACGTCAAGGAAAACAGTCACCCACCTTTTTCGAGAGTGGACCTGTGACTTGCTGCCACATGACAGGTTTCCCTACATCTTACTTCAGCAAGAGCAGCAGAAAGTAAATAGGAATTTAAGCAGTAATCATATTATCATCTTATAATGAAGGTACCGTATGTAATTCTTAAGTAATGATTTACTGGACCGTGAGTGCTGTAAGAGAACATTATACAACTAGCAAACATTGGACTGTTTGTTATGTGAGTACCTGACAGTTTAGCCAATATAAATAGCTTTGCCTGATGTTGGGACACAGCAGATGCCCTTTCACCCCCTCTTATAATCTGGATTAAGAGCACAGGGTGTGTTCCAGCCCTTCAATGCTTTATTACAAAGCCAGAAGTATGGGCAGGTTCCAGGCACAATGCGAGTATAAATTCTGCAATGCAGGCATGTTCTGTCATGGCAGCTCTTGCATACAACGCTGAACGTGGTGCAGGCAGGTTCAGATGACAATGTCCTGAGTTACCAACGTCATCTGTTGGGGCCTTTAGAAGGCATAAAACTAAACCCTAATGGTTTCAATTACCATTCATGGAAAGACTCAGAACTTCACTGTGAATGAAACAGCTGCCTTGTATTCAGTGTTTTCGGGTCAGCCTTATAGTCCAAAAAGATTGCTCATACAGGTATCTTCTGCAACCCTGTTGAGAGTTTTTCTGTAACAACTATATAGAGCCTTGTTTTTAAAATAATTATTTTAAAATGCAGTTCAATCCTTCAAATTAGTAGTTAGAAAATGTCAAGAGAACTGTATTTTGAACTTTGTTCTTACATGAACTTACAAGCTAATGCATAGGCTGTAGGTGCTACCCCCTGAACCAAATTTCTATGGCAGCAATCCTTTCCCATTGCAGTGCTGTGATAGCAGCTCCCCACTGTATTTTTAAGTTGTAAAATGTAAGACATAAATAAATATTTTTAGCAGAAATCTCAGTCTTAAAGGAATATGGTCATACTAAAGCTAGAAAAAAATCTAGGTTTTGTAATTACATGCATTAGAGAGATTGAACACCTAATAATGCTTTAAAAAATTAAAAGAAGAAAACAGACTTTTAAGTTATGTACCCTTGCAACAGAATTGTCATCAAGTTCAACTGGAAAAGTAGTATTATTTTTTCCCAACTATTAAAAACCTTGAAGTATTTTTTTGCCTTGTATTGGTGAAGAAAAGAAAGGTACATGACAAGCATGCTCAGTCCTGAAACTGTGTGAAACAAAGTAAAAGAGCTTTTCAGGAATTACTCTAATAGCTGTGCTCTTCTGTCAAGGCAGGCAACACCACCTCTCCTCCTGTAGTGACTAACAGAGGACACCATATTTTAAAACTCAGTTCAACTAAAATATATTTGGAGTAGTTTCTTCTCACCAAAACCTTCAACTCTTGACTTTTACCCTAAGGAATTAATATCCTTTTTTAATATGCTTTACTCTGGTAAACTTCACCCAATATCTTTGCAATAAACTAAGGCAGCTCACTCCTGAGGTAAACAGCCTTAGTCTTTCATGCAGTGTATTTAAATGGAAAGCTTTCATATAATTGAATCTTTTGCTTTCTGACTGAATATTAATGATTTTCCACACATCTATTTTTACCTCAGTTCTTCTTTGAAGCAGATCAATGATACTTAGAGCTGAACTGCAGTGTCTGCAGCTAAAACTAATTCTTCCACAGAGGAAATGGAACTAACCAGAACAATGGGATGGGATAAAATAGCTGTCACAATAACTTAAACAAAAGAAACATATTCTACATGCAAGGTATAAAAATGGGATATGTTATATTACTGGTATTGAACTTGGTAAAAAAAAAATGACTACTTCTCTGATGTTACCACAGTCTTTAATAGATTATCAAAGAGATAAATTTGCATTTGAAGCCAGTGTAATGAAAAGTATACTGTTTCAGAAATTGCTAATAACATACCAATGGCATTGTTCAGCCTATATTCTCCTCTGAAGAAATCTTGTAACAGTTTATCTCCAACTTTCCCCGCTTCTGTGATGGCTTAAGAGAAATAAAAATTCTGAAGATAATTGTAAGCTTAATAGAAAACACAAGTAAAAGAAAATAATGCCTCATAAGTTGGGTCTTTTCCTACAGCAAATAGAGACATACTTAATCCTGCTTTATTATATTTGAGAAAATTTGCTCAAATTTAAATATGAACATAAGTCTTAAATTTGATTTAATGGTATTTTGCTGGAGACTGTCATATACTTGTGAGAGTATGGTCCATTTTCTAACCCCTCCTAATGTCTAGTATTCATTTGTGATATTTTTCATAGCAACATTTAGAACTGTCACTTAAAACTGACTATATTAAATACTTTAAATACTAAAAGTAAATTAGAGCATAACATAAAAACATAAAAATATATTGTTATACATTGTTATAACAATAACCTGTGCTGCTTGTTTACCTACAGTTTACAACAACTGCTAATTTTGACACTTTGGAGATTTCCTGCAGTTCACAGCTAAAAAAAATAATCACAGATACATTGATTACCCTTGTCAAATCTGTATCTAGCTATCTAAAACATTAGACACAAATTATCTAATACTATCAGAGCAACCTGTTAGGGCCCTTCAAATTTCTTAGAAAGAAGCTGTCAGTAATGAAAATCTTGGAAGAATAATGTAGAGACCAGAACCCTCTCCTGCCAGAATGACTGGCTGATATTATCAGTTATTCATAAAAATGTAATTTTTACTCTTATATACACTGTCCTGACAGTTGTCTCCTGACAAATACCTTAAATAGCATCTATACATCAAGGTGTCATAGGAGTCAGCGTAACTGATCTCTTACTCTTGTGTAGCAAGAATTTTTTACAAAAATTTTGTAAACAAAGGAAATCAACACAAAATAGTGATTTGGAAAGACATCAAATGTTTAAGTGAGGATAGTCCTTACCTCGGATGTCACCTCCAGCACAAAAGGCTTTTCCTCCAGTTCCCTTTATAATTATTAGAAAAGTTTCAGGATCTTGCTCCCACGTCTAAGAAGAAGTAAATATTTCCACATAAGACTAAAATCTGTGTAAATGCTTGTTCTTTTTATTGTCTGTAACTCTTATTCCACTTTTTCAAAAAGCAAGTCGAACCATACTTTAAAACATATTGCCTTAAACTGAAGTTTAAGATCTAAATGTCTTCCTGCCACTTCTGCATCCTATTCACCATGAGAGCAGAGACCAGCAGAGCTGCCTTTCCTGGGTCAGAAAAACACCTGTGCACAGCTCTCATCCTCTGAAGAAAGGCAGCACCCCACAAAACAGGGCCTGATAGAAATCAAAAACTATGATACCATTTCAGGCTGTGCTTCAAAAATGTCTAATAAACACCAAAAGGCATCAGACAATTACCCAACAAATATTGGTATCCAATGAATTTGACTTTGTGCATATGATAAATAGTATCATTAACTTAAAAGAGATTATTCTCGTGCTTAAAATCTCATGGTTCTTCACTAACTTGTAGAAACAGTGCCTCTAAATGCATGAGTTCTTATTTAAGGAATGACACTGACAGCCCCCTGCTTCCTAGTGGCTGGTATCATATTTTCAGCCATGCAGCCTCCCCACAAAACATGCACTCCATCAAGAGTCAACACCACTCTATGGGCTGAAATTTGTGCCAGCTGACCAGGTGGGTGCTGCCAAAAGGAACACACAAATGCTGAGCAGTGCTTGCTCTTAATTCAGTGCTGGTATTAACATGGATGTGGATTTACCTATGGAGATGCTAAATTTAACTCTGTCTGACAGCTTGTTTCTTTGATGTGTCTCCTCTTTCTAACTTGCTTGAAACTGCCTGTTTTTTCCCATGCTATAAATCTGAGCTCACTTTACTCACACAAACTTTCATCCTTTAAATCAGTACTCTAAGAAGTGTCTAACTGCATTTTAAAATTGGTTTCAAATAACATATGTATATTGGATGGGTAGAAGTGGAGATACTAACCTTTATTTGAGGGTAAATTTGTTGGATCATAGACAGATTTAGTGCATTGAGAGCCTTGGGTCTATTCAAAGTTATTATTCCTGCAGCTCCTTTCTTTTCCAACAACACTTCTGCTGCAGAATCTGTCTGCTTAGACATTTTCTGTGCATGCAAAAACAAGTAAATAAAGCAAATGCCATCAGTTAGGTAACTTGAGTAACGTATTTACAAAAGTGTTTAGGAAATATATTCTCTACACGCTATCTAGGATCACAAAACACACATTCTGAAATTGCTTTTCCCACTGTACTTCTATTTGCAATTCCTAAACAGTTCTTTGGAAACTACTTCGAGTCCTTCAGAGTAATAAACCTCAGACAAGTTTTTGGACCACACATTGTTTTACAACAACATTTTGAGTCCAGTTAATTAAAATTTACAAAAGAAACAAACAAAAATCAAACAAAAAATTCCTCACCCTACTAATAAAACACAAATCCATGGTTCCTTAAAACTGACATTCTGAAAATACTTGCAACAATTGGAACAATGACAGTTCCATATATCCTTACTAGTAGTTTGACACTGCAAACCCAAATGTACACCCTGCTTTGCCCTTAAGTAACTTTTAACAGTAGAAAACAAATCCCCTGAACTATTTTCACACTCACAGTGAGATGATATTTAAGGAATTTACAGAAGCTAAAACAGAAACTATCTATAAAATAAAGAAATATCTAAAAAGTAAAGCCAAAACAATCAAGCTTTAATTTACACTATAATAGACACCTGTAACAAAGTGCTCAAAAGATGTGGGCAATACTATGCCTGGGCAATAAATGAGTGTTCAGAACCTCTGTGTGCAGACACATTAGAAGTTGCATGTGCTGTGTGCCTCAGGGGAGTGAGAGAGTCCTGAAAGCTTCCAAACCAGTCAAACATGAGGCTGTCCTTACCAAATGCTGTAATATTACTTGCAGTCTGTTCAGTGCCCTCAGCCTGAAAAAGAAGCATTACAAAAACAGCTAAAACCATAAACCAGCCACAGGACTTCCCAAATATCTGACTGCTGGGTTAAGCACAGCAGTGGCAGACAAATTTGGGAAGGAAACTGTTTTACATTCTCCTTATAAGAATCAATTAAATTACGGCAAAATTTTGCTGTTGAAACAGTTCAAAGTTTTTTTGCTTACTAGTAAATAAGTAGCCGATACCAGTATCAGCTACTAATGTTTTCAAGTTAGGAGAAAATGCCAGGACAGAGGGGTTGGGGATATGATTGACACTGTGTGTTTTTTAGATTTTTGGGGTTTTTTTGTGGGCGTTTTTATGTTTTGATTTTAAAAAAAAAAAAAAAAAAAAAAAAAGTCTTGTCAAAACTTTTGCCTATTTCCAAAAGCTTCAGTGACACAAAGCTGCCCTCGTGTGTACACATTTCATGTACATTGTGTAAGAGCTCGCAGAGTGCTCATACTTTTGTGGGTGACAGGAGGGACCCAAACTTCGTGAACACGCCACTCGTTTGGAGCAGCGAGGCTGTAATTTATTCATGGCCACTGAGAAAGGCTGTGCTGGCCACACATCAGAGCTGCAGTGAGAAATTCACCTTTCAGCTACCTCAGCGCACAGACCCAGCCCACTCCAAGTTCTATGTTAGCGCCGCGTACATTACGCTGTTGTTTAACGGCACGCTTGTTTTTGGAGGTGAAAGCTAGCGAAGGCCTGGCTGCTCTAGGCCCGAGCTGCACCTCGCAGCAGCGGCGGGGCTGCGCTCCCGGCCGGCTCCGCCGCCGCGCCCCTCGCTCCCCGCCGCCGCTCCAGCCCCTCAGGGCGGCCCCCGTTACCTGGGCAGCGCGCGCAGCGCCGGGCCCGCCATGGCGGCCGCTCCCTCACCGGCCCCGCGCGGCGCTGCGCATGCGCGGTGCTCCGAGCGGCCGCGGCGGCTCCGCCGGCGGGCGCGGCTCGTGAGGGCTCGTCCCCGCCATGCTTTTGGCAGTAACCAAGGCAGATTCCTTACCCTGCGCAGGGAAAGTGCTGCTCCCCGTCCTGGATAAGGCCGGGTGGTGTGAGGGGATCTGGTGGTGCGGCTGCTTTGCCGGTGAAGCGAGGGATGCCGCGTGTAGCAGTAACATCAGCCGCTGGCTGCTAAAGGCGGGGAAAGCTCGCATTGCCAAACTGCCCTCAGAGCTGAACTTCGTGCGCCGGAGCTGCGTCCCGCCTGTTTATTGGACTGATTTCTTAATTTCTGGTTTCTTAATTTCTGACCTCCCGGCTTCTCTTCACCTTTGCACCTGAAACACCAGACGCATCTGTAGTGCCCTCGCAGCTACGGACTCACGGTCAGGGGTGAGGTGGGGTTAAGGAGCCGCTCTAGTCTAACATCCCTGCAAGAACTGCTTATCCATGAAGGTAAACACGTGGAGAACGTGTATGTACAGTTACATTAGGAATAAGCACGGTTACTGACCCGGCAGTAGCTACAGACAGCGCTGTGCTGAAATCCAGCCTGTGCGTTCAGCATAAATAGACTCAGAAGTTGCAGCTGTGAAAACTGCCTTTTGAAAGAAAATAAAATATTAAAGCACTTGAGAATATTTCACCCTAGGAGTCAATAATACAAAATTCACTTTGATTTCAAGATCTAAGACCACTCCATGACTGTTTTTTAGGCTGACACATAGCAACATGAGCCATGGAAAAGATGTGATGAACCACGGAGTAAATGACAATACAGTGCATTAGGTTGAACTGTAGCTTCATCATATCTTGGTGTAACAAGTTCTTAGCATCAGCTGCCTTGACTCACATTTGACTTTAAAAGAAAAAAAAAAAAAACAACTTAAAACCTTTTAGCAAATTAATTTTGCTTGAAGGAAAAAAAAGTCCTAGCTCTCAGAAGAAGTCTCCAGAGGGCAACCTTGTTCTTTATTTCTAAAATGATTCAGCCCCTGGTTATAGCAGCGTCATCTCTGTTGGCATTTCCGTTGCAGTGACTCTCAGAGTATATTAAATCTAGTCGTAATAATTTTAATCAAACTAAATAGGCACACGCACAAAAAAAAAAAAAAAAAAAAAAAAAAAAAAAAAAAAAAAAAAAAAAAAAAAAAAAAAAAAAAAAAAAAAAGAAAAACCACTCCAGAACATTTCTGTATTAAGGCAGTCTCAGATTTGAGTCTTGTACAATGTGAAGAAAAAAATAACTGGGAACAGGACATGAGGTGCTTTTGCAGGCACTGGGAGACTGTCTGCGGCAAACTAATTAATTGCAAGAATTCGTTAGGTGATCCTAACTATTCAAACTTTCACCTAAAGGTTATATGATAATCAATGATGCAGCTTATTGGTGTCATTTAGTGTTCAGACAGCCCTATATGCTGCATTATATCAAGTGCCATGCAATTAAATTTAAACCAGGCTAAATGTCACCAAATTATCACAGTTGGCAAACCTGAGCCCTGACTTAGATAATTATTTTTAAAATTATTTTTGAGAATAACTCTGCAGCTCTCATCCAGGCATTACTAATTAGAGGGTTTGATAAGCAGGTAACATTTCTGTTTCTCATTTCCTGTGACGAAAAGTCCCTACATTTCACATAAAAATATGAAAAGAACTTTTCAGTGGTATAATCTCTTCGTTAGTATTGTTGTGAAAACAAAGAAATGGGTGTGTGGAAGCTAACCTTGGGTAAGAGCAGGTGGAGGCTGTTTGAAAGCCCTGGAAATCTCCTAACAAATTCCACCTGCACATGGGCAAGGCTGTGATCAGGACATGATTACATGGGATGTCTGTTTCTGGGGGTCCAAAATAGAAGCTGGTGATCTGATTAATCTTTTACTTAGGCTGATTTTGATCTGTTCTCCTCCTGTCGTCACTGTAAGTAATGGTGTAAACCCTTTGTAGTCTTCCAGCTGTATGTCTGATTAAGGACACAAGTGAGCCTACTCCTTTGTAAACAATGAAGTAGCAACAAGCTTTGCCTTGTGACAACTACTGATTTCTCTCCACGGTGCTGACATTGAATTTATATTTAATATTTTCTTTCAAACCTTTCCCTTCTTTTTTTTTTTTTTAAGTATTTTTTAAGAAGAAGGGGTGGTAACATGAAAGCCATTTTCTTGAGGCTTCATTTTTAAACCTGCTGGTGATGGCTTCAATTTACCTACAGTTTTTTTAGGGGCAGAGGATTCATAAGTGTCAGAAAATTGTTGGTTTTTCACAGCCATTTAGCTGACTGCAATCCTGTCCAAAAAGCAACTCAGATATCATCCTATTTTTCAGTAGTCCTCCTGCACACTCCATTTTTTTCAGAGTGGAATGTCAAAGTGAAAATGCTTTCTAAAAAGTAAATAAAAGACTTTTCTAAGTAGGTGGTGGAAAAAGAGTGAAAATAAGGAGTTGCCTGAGAATAAGCAGAAGAAGATGACCTTTAACCTGGGAGTTTATGGATTATTTTACTTTTGGCAAAGAGGGCTGCACAATACTGGACCAAGCCAGGAACTGAGAGTGTTTAAGTGTGATAGCCAGAAGGATAAACAGGTTGTAATTCCTCCCCCTGGAGAAGTTTCCTGGCAGGGCCTTCAGCAGGTTTGAAAAGAGAAAGTTGCAGGCTGTAGGAGGTCTTTGGAGTTGAGCAGATGTTTTCAGGTTTTGCTTCTGGTTTGGGGTTTTTTTTTGTTTTGTTTTGTTTTTTTTTTTTTTTCATTTCTTTTCCAAAAAAAATATAACTTTAGACTGTGGGAGCTCTTGCTCTCAAGGAGGATTCCACGAGCAGCTCAGCTGCATTCTGTGTGCCACCTGGGCAACCCTAGTTAACCATTAACTTGTGCCTCACATTCACTTCTGAGAGCTCCCAGAGTAGTTGACTAAGAATAGATAATAAATGGTACAAGTACTTCATCATGTCCCGTACTGCTGTTTCCAGGTTTGTTGTAAATTTAACCTTTTCCTCTGCTGGTCTAACAACTGGCATCTTATTTCTGTATGTGTGGGTAGTAAGTGCATCCTTACAGCCTGTGAAGGTTAAGGTAAAATGAGTCTGTGAAGGTTTGAGGAACAGAATGGGAAAATTTCCAGTTCATGCCTGCTACCTGGTTATTACTGTGCTGACAGACAATCCTCACATTGTTATTTCTCAGTCCAGACTCAGTTGACAGCCCTTGAAAACAGGTGATGCAGGTTGAAATTTCCTCGTGCCAGCTTGGGTACCTAATAGTAAAGGCTCAGGTCTGCAGTAGAGTCTTCCAGGGACATCACTGAGAGCAGAAGAAGACTTAAGCAGAAAACAAATCTGTTTCTTCACTCTCTAACAGCAGGTCAACCTAGAGAAGGATTGAAACACCTATGTAATGTAGAGAAACAAATATTTGCTTTTGTCTTTAACCTATGTCTCCTCATGTGAACAGCCTGCCTTCCCCAGGGCTTTTGGTCAGAGACCTTTCAGATAATGTATTTGTACAACATCTGAAATCACAGATTTGGGACAAGGGCATACAGCTAATGGCATGCAGTAGTGTATTTCTTCTGTAACAATAAATTGTGTGAGGGAGGGGGGAAAAATCAACTTTTATTTTCCCCCTTTTATTTTTCTTCACTCGTTAATTTTCATCTTATCAGTGGGGAACTAGAAAGTGTTTGGGAAAGGCTGAAAGCAAATCCGTAATGAAACTGTGTGAGCGAAGTAGTTTTCCTTTTCTTCTGGCCTCAGAGAGCACCGGGGAAAGCGTGGGAGTGGCTGTGTGCTGCTGCAGATGCTGCCGTGTTGATGAGACGACGAGAAAGGATTCAGGCGAGGTCCATCCAGCAGTGAGTTCCTCCCCGCCACCAGCCCGGCTCATCACAGCACTCGTGCTGCAGCCACCCTGCCAGAACCCCCTGGGTGAGACGGGACCCTGGGCAAACACCCTCCTACATCTTTCTTCCCTGCTGCCACAAGCAATCTGTCTCTCCTCTCCCCGAACCACCCTCCACCTACGTACAAAGCCATAACTGTAAGGAACGCCCTCTTCCCTCCTCCTTTTCCTCCCCACGAGCCTGTTCTCCGTGGGTGAAAAATGCTGTCTTCCCAGAGATCTGGTCACCCCCGACTTTGGCTTTGAGACCCAAGCTGTTTGATACCTTTTAGGACTGCAGCTTGGAAAGCTCTGCTTGCAGATCTATTGTGTTCGTTTTTCAATTGCGTATAATTGCACATGTGCAGGTGGGAAGGGGCTATTTGCTTCCCACTCTCTTCGATACGCCTCCCTTCCTAAGAGGACCGCTTCCTTCCCTTTCTGCTCTCAGCCTCCCACGCATTTAGCAATGAGAAATGGTGCAGAAAACTGACCAGCTACCAACCCGCCCACCTGAGGAGGAGGAGCAGCAGCAGCAGCACATTTCTCTCGCTCTCAGCTTTTTAAACACAGTTAAAAAGAGCTGTAGCGTGGGTGGAAATAGCTGTAGGGAGTGTGTGTGGGAATGGGGCTAGAGGAAAGTGCATTTTTTCTTGGTAGGACAGTTAACTTCTAGTGGACAAAAAAAAAAAATACCTCAAAGATATCTCACTGCTGAGGATGTCTTTGGCTGTATAATTCGTTCTCGAGTCTCCCAGGTCTGGAAAGGATGAAGCAGGGAATGAAGCAAGTGATGGCAGGGAAGCTTGCCTTCCAGACTTCAGGAGTCTGTTAGGAAATGATATCTGTATTGCATCTCGTTGTGTCATCACGTCTGCTGTTCTGCTCTCAATGTGTGTGCTTGATTCTGTGAGAGTCAGAGCTGCCTGTATGTAGGAAGAGAAAAAGGCATGTGGTTTTCACACCATGTGGGTCTGTATTTCAAAATACTGTCCCTGTTGGACCTCTTGAAATAGCACTGTCCCAGAATATCAGTTAATTCAAGATTTCCTCAGTGTGCTTCTATACAAAATTAAAATCAAGCTTATTTGTGTTAACTGGTTGTTATTTGAGGTGCTTTGCTTGTATTACATGAAAACAGCAGTGGAATTAGTAAGGAACTATACACTGGTATAGAGTGCAAAGTGGTAGGGCTGTTTCTTAAGGAATCTCTTTGACAGACTCCAAGAACCAAGGGTCCTCAATAGCTGTGAGTTTCTGACTTGATTTGACTTAGCTATCTGAAATACAGATTTTACAATATATAATTCTCCTCAGCATTGTCCTCACACAAGTAAGCTGCACACATTCTTCTCAAGCCAAAATTCTACCCATGCATTGGTTTTGACTAGATTAATCACCAGCACCAGAACTTCCATATATGTTACTGATGCAGACTCTTATATCAGGATGTGGTCTTTAATGATTCATAGTAACAGTAACAGCCAATAATGAATTTGACTCTGAAAGTACTGGAGATATATGCCCTGCACAATATTTTTTTGAGGTGATTTTCTCCTAGTGAGTAGAAGCCTCAAGCCTGGCAACTGGGCTCACTGACTTCAGTGCCTTCCTCCACAGCCTATCTTCTGTAGCTCTGAAAATTTTACCTTAGCATTGGAAAGCAAATATAGGCATAACTTTTAGGCTCAGAAACAAAGGAAATTATGAATAAGCCTAATTAACACATTTCTATGTGACACAACAGATCAGCTGATGGACTTGTGCTAGCAAGAGGTAGAGCCCTATCAATGGAGATGTAACCTTAATGGAAATAATTATCCTGGTGTTTTAAAAGTCTTATTTATGACTGGTGAATAATATTTTGACTATATCCTTCTAACCTTCCACTGAATCTTATGTAGCTCAAAATTATAATCTTCTGGAATTACATAACCAGCCTGAGGAGGAATAATATTCCAAATATTAAGTTCATGTCAATTGACTCATTTACTTTAAAATGTTGCAGCAATTCCTTTGTCAGTAGCATTTTGAAGCACTGTTGGCTTGCTTGTAATTCTACCTCATATTTAGCATTGGTTCAGTTAACTTTGGAGGTAGTACTTTTCATACCTTTTAGATCAATGAATGTATATCATGTTTTAAATGCAGATTATATGCTTATGTTGCCAACTACCATTAGCCTGAAATTTTTCTTGTATGATCTATCTGTTGTGGTAGAATTATATTAACGAGAAGCAGTAAAAAAAAAAGTGGGGGGAGGGAAATCACCCCTTTTAATGATTCATTTAGAATAATTATAAATCTATCTTAGGAGCTCAGTCCTGTATGTAAGATTCCTCTTGGCCTCCCTGTCACACACTTTGGACTTGAACCATCTGCTTCCTTCTCAGGGGTCATAGTGAATGACTATTTACTTATTTTGTCTCCATCAGAATCATAGTGAATTAAGCACAAAAACATTTGATGCAAATTAGTAGCTTTCTGTCAGACCAGGGAATTGAGCACCTCAGACATTTATTTCAAGGATTTGTTACTCTAAGTTAAAGTTAGGCTCTTCAGCACTGCAGTTTGGCTGACAGTGTGACAGTCAGTATCTTATTAAATAGATGTGGTGTATTCAAACCTTTCTACTCTGGCACCTCACACAATTATTATTTTCACTTGAAAATATCTACATTTTTGTTTTAAAGTCAATATTATGAATATTTTTCAAAATTTCTTTCTGTTTTATTTCATCCTGGAGTACAGTGAAAACTGTGAAATAATGACTTGAACATGGCCTAGGGAAAGATAACTCACTTATTGCCACAAATGATGCAAAGGACAGCAGAGCAGAGTGGAAAAATTTAATAATGAGGGAAAAAATAGGTCAGTAGAATAAACAGAGGTCTTTAAGCTATTAAATAAGTATCTATCACTCACTGCTGCAGATATATTCTGTTCAAAGTATAAATTATTAGTATCCAATATGGGGTAATCATGAGTTTCAATACAACTCAATTTATCAGCTCTGTGGACAATGATTAACCTGGCAGAAGGATGTGTAGCAAGTCAGGAGAACTGTTTGTTTTAGGGTTTTGTTTTGTTTTGTTTTTCTTTCAAGAAAGAAATATGGTCACCCTGGATCATAAATAAACTTGCAATGGCAGTGACAGGGACAGAGTACTTGGTTTCTTGAGTGCTTATTGAGTGGATATGCTTCCCTAGGGATGCAGTGCTCAGTGAAGAAAGGCAGTGGCAGCTGTGGCAGGGCACAGCATAGATTTAAATTGTTCCAAAGCGAATACATGATTGCTGGTGTCATTAGCTCCTCTCTGTAATCTCAGTCTTGCATCTGCTCCATGGATTTCATGGTGCCACTGGTTCTACTGTCCAGACCCAGACAGTCCATCACTCTCTGTGTCTCTGCAATAGCAGGCTGGAGCAGAGGATCATGCTGCTAACAGCTCTGCATGGGAACAGACATCATTCTTTCAGAAACAACATGGAACTCAAGGTGATTGAGTCATACTTTGACACACCTCTGTCTGCCAAGAAAAATGAAGGCACTTCCTCATATAGCTGTTGCTAAGAGCATGTCTTCAGGCTCTAGGAGTGAGAAGGTGCTTTATTGTACAGTTAACTGCAGGAGTTAACAGCAGGGTTTCAATCTGGACCAGCATGTAATTAAAGGCTGTGCTTCTGCCTAGGAGAACTTGCACCATGTAGAATTACTCTGAGACACTATTCTGTAAGTGTAAGACCTTTGAGAAGTGATTATATTAGCATTTGTAGCCTAAAACATAAAGAGGAGGAAGTTCTGGCCAGCACTAAGACAAAACATCTTTTGTTTGTTTTATGCTAAATTTAAATAATTTCATAAGAAAGAAGAGACTTTATATAAAAAAAAAAAAAAAAGAGAGAGAGAGAGAGAGAGAAATCCTTTTTTAATTTGAAAAGGAAATGGAATTTTTTTTCCCTGTGGCTGAGCAGAAGAATCATGAAGTACATTTGAACTGTGCATTTCCTTTCCTGTGTCACCACTAGTTTTGTGAGCCTTTTGGAATATTCACCATTGACCAGTTACCTTCCTAGTAAGAGACAATTGAATTTTGCAGGTGCAGCTCTCTGTCACTTCAATTACAACAGCAACATACAATTTTCAGCATATTTTAAATAGTCTGAAGAAGCAGGCAATGAGAAATTACTTTGTTGCTCTTTCACTCTTCTATTTTAGTTCTCACTTCTGCGAAGTAAAGAAAGTCATCTGTTTCATTGTAATATCAATATTAACCTTTTAGTTGACACAGTAGGGCACCATACACTGGTGATAACAAATGGCATCTTGTCATTGCTCCTATTAGTGAGCTAAAACATAAATATAGTTTATCTCTATGTCTGCAGTGCATGTATCCGTAAAAAGCCACATAGCACAATGACCCAGGATTATGGGATCCAGAGGAAGAAGGTTCAGATGCTTTGAATTTCTGTGTTGCTTTGCAAATCAACACAGGAAATATATTTTTCAGTTACATCTTAAAGAAAACTGTTCTGTAAACTGCTATAAACTGATATTTTAAAGGGTCTATGTTACAAGGGATGTATGCTTTTTCTTTCCAAGCAAATAATTTGACCATGGCTTCACATGAGCCTATAACTCTGTCAGCTGTTACCCAGTTCTGCAGAAGGCAATGAGCTTGTTTTTTTAGCACAGGATAAACAAATCCTCCATGTACTAAAATGTGCTCACTCAGCCATACTTCTCTCCACAGGAGTCTCTCAATTTATCTTTTCTTCTGAGGAAATTTCCCACCTAAGAATTTCCCACCTTCTTTACCTTTTAAGTAAAGAAAAAAAAGCTTAGCATTTATATTTACAGAAGTAAAAAGCCCCACACTCCATCATGTTCTCCAGTATGTCATTTCAGGTGGTTGTATGGTATTGCAATCATCTGTCTGTTTCCCAGGAACTCATTTGCTTGTTTTAGTTATTCACAGTAATCAGTCATAGTGCTTGTAGGTACCATAATTACTCACCGCAGAATGACTGCAACAACGGGTTGTGACTTTGTCACTGCAGAATAACAACCAGAGCAGTTCTCTCCAGAATATGTGTCATCATTCTGGGAGGTGAAGGAAAACATTCTCCCTTCAAGACGTGACTTCAGCACCCAGAAGCTTGACTGCAGTGACCCCCACTGTGTAACCTTCACTCTTCCAAGAGGAGGAAACTCTTTGCAGATCTGTTAGAATCCTTCACACCTATCTAATATGTAGAATGTGAGTACTGTCTACTTATCTCAGAAAAAACTATCGTTCAGATGTGTTTCTAAAGAGCTTTAGCTCAGGAAATAGCTACATTGAAACTGTATTGTTCCATTTCTGTCTCCCTTTCCCCGAATAGGCCTGGGTTAATTAGTAACCAACCTTCCCATATCCATTTCCTCCTCTTGCACCTTTTCTGTATGAACTATGTGTATTTTTTCAGCCACTGTTGTGGCAGGATCACCCCCACCCTGCTCAAGTCCAGAGGTTTACCAGTTTTGTTTAGCTTATAAGCTTAAAGATGAGTAAGATAAGTTTTGTAAACTAATTACTGCATTCTGTTTTAGTGATACTATTTTAGTTTAAAATTTGGTGCTGTTGGACCAAAATTTAATATATATTGCAGTTTGAAGTATTTGAAATTCTTTTCCAGTATTGCTGTTTGGAATGCTAGTTTATGCTTAAGTTACTAAATCAGGTCGTGAAACATACAAGGTAGACAGACAGCCTATGTGTCATGTACATTTGTGTCTATCCACATTTCATTTTTGCCAATAAAAATTATAAATAACACAGTTTACTGAAGAGTTTTCAAGATTAGAAGTCTTACTTGTGAGAGTGCTGTCTGAAGGGGTTTTAGGCATCAGGAGGGTTGATTCACAATTGTACACCATAATGTTTAGTTTAATTGTTTAACTTTTTTATTCCACTTCAACCTGAACAACAACCCCCCCCTACAGTTCAGAGCTGATGGCGTTTGCACTCTCTGTAGTTATGTTTTTCAGCACACAGACTACAAAGAAAGAAACTGAGACCTTAGGCTTTCCTTAACATTCCCTGCTGTTCCTGCTATCAGTGGCCAAGGCTATGGAAGACATGAGGAACATTTGACTACTACTTTTACTTAGACACAGCTGATGAGAAGGAGGGGCCAGCTGCTGATTGATAGCTTGCTCTGGCTTCTCCTTCTGTCACTCAGATAGGAAATGCTGCTACTTTACATAAATAAGAATGGCTCTGCCATTCTGGAATAGGAAAAATTCTTCCCCAACTCAGTACATCTGCAAATAATTTTTAAGGCAAAGTACAAGGATTAGTGATATTTACTATATGGTGGCCCAGGGAACTGCAGGGCTCATGAAACCACCTGTGGCCCAAAGGAGACCTGCAAAACCTTGAAACATTTCATTTATAAGAAAGTAAGATATTTTGAAAAACTGAAGGGGAAGTAAATTGTGATACAAAATTTTGGAGAACTATTATTTTATTGTTATTCTAGTACCTTTTAGTTGTTCCCCAGAAAATTACAGGTCTTGGAAACAAAAAATCCAGTAACCTGGGGAGTTCTCTTCTGTGCATGTTCCTTTGCTGGCACTTGACAAACCTTTAGCATCCACAGTATCTTGGCAAGTTTTGGACAAGTCTCCTACAGGTCTCCTGTAGCTTCATTTGATGTTTCATTTTCCATGTGTGAGAAGAAAGAGTAAATGAATTTGCCTTCTCCAATTCAGGACTTTCTACATCTGCTATATCCCTGCTAATCATCCTATTTATCTGACTGGTGAATACTAGACTACTCAGCTTTTCCAGGCAGAGAAGTCAGTCCAAACTTGTGAGCATCGTTCCTGGAACCTTTCTAACACTAACATATTCTTTTTGAATGAGGAGAACATCCTGATTTTTTTTTCCCTGTAAATCTTACAAATCCATGTCTGAATTTCTCTACGTGTGAAGAAAATGAAACCATGTATTATGCTAAAATAGAATTATCCCTTACTTTGGGATTGGATTTGCACATATAATGATTTTTTTTTCCTCCCTCATAGGTGCTTTGACAGTCTTGAACCTTCTGGTAACAAAGAGTTAACAGCATGCTGTAGCAATACAAGAAGTCCTCAGGGAGTTAGGTTGTAAATCTGAAAAGCAGATAAAATCGTCTAACTCTGCAGGCAACAAGCCTTTACTCAACTATTTATAGAGCTATTTATAGGAGAAGAGAATGGAAAGAAGAAAAGGAATTAGTAAATGACTTTAAAAAGCACAGGTACTTAGAATTCATAGTTGATGTGCTGATTTAGGAAGTCAGGAGATATGACAGAAAAAGGCTAAGGAATGTTAATAATGTTCCATAGACAAAGACTATTTTTTTTTCTACTTTTGTCACCTTCCTGTGTTTTGGATTTTTTTTTCTTTTTCCACCCAGCCATTTCAAAGGCATATTCTTGCAGTGACGCATCAGTTTTCTGTCTGCTTGAGGTTTAGAAATAGCTGAGCTGTTATAAATAGATTGCAATCTGCAGGAGACTAAGACAATGGAAAAGTGTAAAAGCTTCACTGAAAAATTTAGATGGTGGATTGAGATTCCAGCTGTCTCCTAGAGTAGAAGTGGTCTGTTTGAAATGCTTTATTAGCCACTGCAGAGGAACCTGTGCTCTTTGTGCAGCAGGGGGGAACAGCCAGGTGGAATCAGGTGGCACTTTTGGTCACGGTGCCAAGTAGAGAGCGACATCCAGCCTGGTCCCTGCAAGCTCTCAGCTCGATGACGTGAGAAGGAGGCACTTTGCTGTTCCTCACTGCAAAGCTAAAACACCAGAGGCAGTTACTCTTTTATAAACTGTAGAGACACTAAATCAGAATGTATAACTTCTACACCACAGTTTTTCTGGCAGTACTTGTGTACTCTGAATTAACTGATAGCATTCATCAAGTTTGCTCCCTTTTTCCACTTTGCTTCAAACCACCTTTAGTGAGGTGCCATAGCATATGGTTGAAAGCTTGATCTTGTTTTATAAGGCAGTGAAAAAATCAGAACTGGGAAGCAGTTCAATATCCTTTTGTTTTTTGTTTGAGAAATTAGTTTGTAAGGTCATGTAGGTCCTGCCGCCATATACAAATAGCTGAGGTCCATTTTCTTATACTTGACTATATAATTCTGTTAGAAAAACTGAGAAAGATGCTTTGTTAACTGTGGGTAAAATAAGACATTAAACGGAAGGAATAAACTTTCTCAAAGATATGTTTCAGCCTAAAAGAGGAGCTGCTTCCTGAAACCAGGCTATATCACTGTAGCTACATCATGGCAACTAGTTTAAATAAGCTATTCATTCTCAATCCTTGCCAAACACAAACCACCAGGGTAGGATCTGGTCTTTGTCTGAAGTCTGTCCCTAGCTGTTGTAGTAGAACTTTAGGCCAGTACACACTGCAGAATCAGGTCCTTCAAACCTAAATTAGCATTCTGTTGAAAACTAAACATATGTCGTTTTTTTTTTTAAATGTCAATAATTTTGTTTCCAGGTTAGGAACAGAAACATTGCTGTGGAAGAATTTATTAATGAGCTCAGTAAGTATGTAACTATTAATATCTTCTGAGATTTTGTTTGTCTTATTTTTATCTTCAGTTCCAGACTCTGAAATAAACAGATGTTCTGAAGCTTTCCACCGAGGATACTACAATATGTTGTCTTAAGTACATTGTGATAACTGGGATATTGTAGGAAACAAGTAAATAGCTGTGTACAGTATTTATGGAAAAATTTGTACCTTTACTTTGCCTCACTTATAGCTCTAAAACGAAAACATCTGAAATATTTCTTGGATGTTATTAAAGGTTTTTCTTTGCAACCAGAAAAGAGAGTACAAAAATTGAAAAAAATGTAACTTTGTCCTCTAATATTATCAGAGAGCATTAAATCTGCTATTATTATTCCATGGCATGACTGGCACTATAATTTACCTGTCCTAAGTGCATTTTCAATAGCTGAGTCCTTCAATCTGTCAAAAACGTTTCTATTTATTTCACAATCACTTTTGATCAGAGATACTCCTTTGGGTCCCAGTGTAACTGAAGTCTGTAGCAATCCTCTTACTGAGACTTAAGTACTCAGGTCCTTTGTTCTTTACCTTGAGGACATCATGAGAGTTTGAGAGGGCATCAATTGCTCATTGTTTTCACACTTTGAGGGGAGGGACCCATTTGAAATTCATCTAGAAACTGAATTCAACTACTAATATTGCTTGGATGTTCTCCTGTTAACCAAGAAATTAAGAGATCAACCCATCAGTTATGTTGGAGGTGCTGAGAGAAAATATAGAATAAAAAAGATCAGTATGCTTTCTGGGAAAAAAGGCTAGATGGTTTAGCTAATTGTGACTCCCTTCTGTATTAAAAGTGACATTTACTGCTTTTATTTATACTGAGGCAAATTCAGCTCTAGAGAGATTCAGATGTGAGTCCTTTGAAATCAGCAGCTACCCTTGGTCTGAATTTGGTGCAATGTGTTCCTCAGTACAAAAGATTACTTCACTGCTTGTGTCACTTAAATTTACTAAACAAAAATGCCTTAGTCTTGGTTCAGGTTTATGAAGCTATATTGTAGAAAATAGGAATTTAAGCAGAGAGATAAGACTACATGACTACACTTGCCTCTGATTAAAACAAACAAAAACCAGTTCAAATGAAAAGTGCTCTGAGTTATCACCAACTTTTTAAAGCCATATAAATTGTGAGAACTAGTTGTTTTATTAAAAAAGAAGAATATGTAGTGCTGTATAAAATCAAAAGTAATTTTCTTGAATAGTCTTTCCATATGTAGAATATGCAACCTCAATTTAAATTTCTTTTGGTCAGGGAATATTTTGCCATGCAATGGTATGGTATTTCCTTTAAAATTTATTGTCAGAAATAAAATGTTTTTAAGAGCTGAGAACTCAAATTCCCATTGACTTCAAGTCGTTGACTAATAATTAGGCAAGCAGGGATATCTGACCCTATATGCATTTATTTTGTGGATGTAAAGATGTAAAGATGTGGGTGTAAAGAATTTCTTGCTGCAATGTTGGTGTTTGTTCAACCTCTTGCTCTCAGCGGGGATAGAAGGAAGTTCCTGGGGATCAGAGAAGTGGTCAGTTTGCCATCAAACATGAGGCTCAGGAGGTGCTTGGTACACTCAGAATGCAGCATAAAAAACATACATTTGTTTTACTAAAGTCATGTAGAGGTAAGGACTCATTGTGCAAGGACTTAGTGGGCAGAGGAGGTAGGAGGATGTGCCACACTTTTAACTGCTTTGCCTGCCCTACTCATTTTGTATTTTAATTTTAACATTTCTGGTGTTTATTTAGAATAAGATGTACGAGCATGTGGGAGCTATCCTTTTAAGTTTTAAAAGCTGGATTTTTTTTCTGGGCACCCCCTACTGGGGACCCCAGAGGGTCTAAGTAGATCCATCTCTAAGCTCTGGCCAGTTAAGCTTCCTTCCCTCTGTGAAGACAGGCCAATATAGAATTCATTGCGGGTTCAGTGGATAAATGGTATAAGTTGTCTCTAGCTCCTGCCTGGACTACAGGGTCAGCAGGGCTTTGCACACTTCCCAGTCTGGAGGGTCATGACAGGATCAAGGACATCATATTTTTGCACCTATTCATCATGCTGTCAATGTTGTCAGCAGCCCAACTTAAACATTTATCTTGTGGACAGCAAAACCAATGAAGTTGTATTTCCTACAGGTGTGTGTATTTGTATTTTTACAAATGCAAATTCCTTGCACTCCCCTGTGTCACCATTTTAAATGTCTCACCTTTTTCCTCTCATTTTTCTCAAGTTCCCTCCTCTATTCCCTTACCTGCCCCAAGTTCTTCACTGCTGCTCGGGCACAGTGTCATTCACTGGACAAAAGGGCACTGGACACTGTGGAGTTCCTACCCTGGAATTTCCTCTCATGGAGGGCACTGTCTTGCCTTTCTTTTCTGCACTGTGTTGTAGGAGCACACTATGTTGTAGGAACTTAATATTTGTGCCCACCAAATTTAATATCTGCCAGTGGGTTCAAAGGTCTTGAGGTGAGGAAAGGTTCATTACTGTATAAGCAGACACCATGCAAAGACAAATCTGAATTCAAGGGAAAAAAAAAAAAAAGGCCTATCTATTAGGAAAAAGTTGGTGTATACACACAGAGTAAAGATAGTCACAGTAGCACAGTTTCTGTCTTTGGTGTTGTACATTGCTCTCCCTTTGCTAATGAATGTAATGCTTCTAAAAGTGTTTGATTAAAATTCAGAGGAAGAGAATACTGTTTCCCTGCCAAACCGGACAGACCACTGCTCTGGTTGTCTTGCTGGCAGTGAATAATTTGTCCTTGGTTACCATTAACAATGTTGCAGCTGTGCCTGATTTGCTGATTCACTTGGTGACTGTTTCTCAGCTCCTCTGTTGGGATTTTTCTCTAATTTGTAATGTAACTGCTTTTAGTCTTTGAAGAAGTAAGGAAAAGTCACACTGTTCCTCATATTAACTTAGTCTTCCCAGATTTGCCCTGGGATATGTACAAAATGTTGTATTATAAAGAACTTCCACAAGAGGAATAAATGAATGTCATAGCTGCCTTAATGGAATGCCTCTCCTAGCAAAGGATTGACTCTAAAAAGTAGTTTTCATGTTATGCAAATTATATTAAAGGTCTCATGGAAAGAAAAGCTTTTCTGTTGACTTCACTGTATTCTGGAGCAAGTCCTAGCAGCATAAATCTCACCTTAAATTTATCTTTCTAATCTGACGGATGTAAATGATTGTTTGGTGTTTTTTGTTTTTTGGGTTTTTTTTGGCTCAGAGTTAAAAGCTGTCAAAGGACAGTAGAATATTTTATATCAACCAGAAATTCCTGATTTCAAAGTACAGTCCCAGCTTATTAAAGAAACCAGTAAGTTTTTCTAAACATGAGAATTTAACTTCCTAGAAACCATATTTACTTTATTTCCCCTCTAATCTAAGGAACAAATCATGGACTCAGCTGACACCACCTTGTCCTTTTCAAGCGAAGTCTGCTATTAATCTACATAGTCTACTGGTTGTCTATGTGCAGTCCTAGCAGATATTTGTAATTAATTTTATTTTACTTTTAAAAGATAACTATTTTGCTTTAATTTTTCAGTTTATTTGGTGCTTTCTTTTAGACCTTAAATTTGGTTCTTTTGTTTTTAAGCCATTAAACATTTGTAACTATTTTTGGCAAGCATTCTCACCATGAGATATGGTCAAGTTGTATGGGGAACACAAATCAAAATATTTATAAAATAACATATGTATTGAAACAAAATCCCACAGAAATACAAAGGCATGGAGAAGTTAACCCAGGTGTGTGTTTATAGTACAGAAGTTTTTATATGGCATGTTTATGTATGATTTATATTCATTTTAGAATGTATGACTTTTGAATTTTAGAATATCCAGTGGTCATGTACATATTTATTAGTGTCACTGTCTTAGCTAAAAGGAAAAGACTGTTTTTTGGTATATCACATTTATATATCCCCTTTTACTGTCATTCAGAGCTTGAGGTTTTTGAAAAAGAGATATTTAGATCATTTGAATGTATTTTACACCTTACTCAGCTTTTTGTTTTGTTTCATACTAGGAACTATTTGAAAAAAAAACCCTTTATACTTCAAGTAATTTAAAACATTTCCTTTTCTCTGAAGCTTTGACTAGAAATATTTGTGATAGATACATTAGAACAGTTTGTGAACAGTGCAGCAGTTTGTCCATTTTTTCTAATCCTCATTTTCCTAGCTGAAAAAACTCTGAGCAAGTGTAATAATTTGTAACAGGCTGCAATCCAGCTGTTTACACACAGCCTGGCTGAAATAAATAACCATGCTGAGCCCCTGCTATGTTCAGTTCTGCCCAGGCTAGAGCAGCTTGTCAGGCTGGAATAATGCTGTTCTGTGCTCAGGCTTTTCACAATACTCACCTCACTACACTCAACTGGGGATGGATTGGGGTTTTAAACGCAGTAAGAAACTGTTTTTTATATGTATGTATAAAAACATTGTACATTGCTCTTTATTGGTCAAATTCTATTCTCTGGTCCTCAGATGTAACTTCTTGTTCACATACCAGGTTATGCAGCAGCCTACAAAGAAATGTTATGTATTTGGTCTTGATTCCTCTATTCAAAGAGCATTTAAATATTTAATTTTTAAAAAAAATTATTTAGGAAATTAATCTGGCACTTCTGAGACCAAGTAGAAGGAAGGGGGATTATGACAATGCAAGTATCTAAAAACACAGCTCCAAGCAAGGCTGAAGAAGATGGTCACATTCCTAGTGTGATGGGCAACACTGAAGTTATCAGAGATTAGAGAAAAACTGCTTTTAAGACTTCAGTAAATGTAGTCTGTGACTAGAAAGATCTGTTTTTCCTTTTCAGTTGACAAACAGTGACTGCAAATTAGTTGAATTACATGCTCTCCCTAAAAGCTTTTGTAGTAATTTGCCAGAATAGTCTCCATCAAGATGAAATAATTTTGTTTGGAGCTTAGATCTTGTTTATTACAGTGCCATTTTGTAGTAAAAGCCCCACTACATGAGCTGATAATTGTCTGTCTCTGAATTCTGCAAGATTACAGGAGGCCTGCACTCCTGGTCTCAGACGTGGTTTCTCTTTATGGTTAATTAGCCGTGGGGGAGATTCGCAGAGATGACGAACTCTAAAAATCCTTCCAGAGACAGATGATAAACAAGCCTTCTCCTGCCCCAGGTCATCTCCACTAAGAAATTCAGCTTTTGTCTCCTGCCTCCTTCAGGAGAAGCCTTTACTGTAGAGGTAGGCAGGATGTTAATGGGATGCTGTCCACAGTGGCAGGTGAATCTATCTACAGAGATCGTGCCCCACTGATGTGTCGCCGTGGCAGGGGAACAACCTGGAGAGAGAGCATTGCCTTCCATGCCAGCTGGAGTCCCTTGGACTTTGGTGAGAACTAACATTAAATGAGTCAAATGCCTGTCGTGCCTCTGTTTCTGTTCATCTGCCTCAATCACGCGAACTTGTAGTTTTCTCTCAATTTCTTCTCTTGGGCAAAATAATGCAAATTATGTTTTATTCTTTGAAAAAAGGGGGATCCTCCCTCAGAAAAGGGAAGTACAAAATAAGATGCAAGTAGTGATGTTCTTGTTCGGTGGTATCTCAGTTAACGATGTCTGCAATCAGGTCACTGTCCTGGACAGAAGCTGCCGTGCTGTGCCACTGGGAGAGATGGCCAGGGGAGCTTGTTCGTTTTATTGACCTGCTTGGAGCAGAGCCCGATAGGAACTCTTGTGTAAAGAACACCATCATTTGAGCTTAATCCTCAAACAGCTTCAGGGCCTCCTGTTCGGTTCAGGGCTGATAAACACCCCGAACCTCTGGCTGGCCTTTCACTTCGTGACTATTCCCCTTCTTTAGTTTAACATCACTGACCTTTTGGGATTGCAGCACGACTCGGCTGTTGCTCAGGAGTTACCCTCCCTCCCTCCCTTCCTTTTTCTGCCTCAGGAATTAAATGTGGGGGGAAGTTTGTGTTGCTGTTGTTTTAAACATGTAAGTAATTTTATTTGCGTGCAAGTCTAGAAACAGTACTGCGGAAGAGGTAATGCCAGTGAAAGGCACTACGGTACTTAATTCTTCATGCTGTACTACGCGTTTGGAACTCGCGAGGAGCAGGAAGCGCGGCGCAGGTCACTCGGCTCTTGGGGCCCAGGAATGTTTTTAAACCCAAGGCGCTGCCGCGGCCCGGGCACAGCCCGCGAGGGCCGGGCCGCGGCCCGCGGAGGCGTTGCCGGCTGCGGCGGCCCCCCCGCGGCGGGGCGGGGGGCGGCTCCGTCCCTCCCCGCAGCGCCCCTGCGCGGCGGCGGCGGCGCGGCCCGGCCGGGGGGGCGGGAGGTGCGCGGAGCCGCCGCCCGCAGCAGCCGCGGCGGCAGGGAAGGGGCTGCGATGCTCCCGGCCGAGCGCCCCCCCGGAGCCGCCCCCGGGCGAGGTGAGTCAGCGCGGCCCCGCGGTGCGCGGGGGGCCGGGCCGGCAGCCGGGGCCGCCCGGCGGGGCGCCGCCGCCTCCCTGCCCGCGCTCCGCGGGGACCGGCTCCGCGGGGCGGCCGGGGCCGGCTGTGGCGCACCGAGCCGCTGTGAGCCACCGGGCTGGGGAGGCCGTTCCCCCCGGTGTCTGCCCCGGCAGGGCTCCAGCGCCTTCCGCCGGGGCGGCGGGCCTCGTCCCCGCAGCCGCCCGGGATGCTGCCCGTGGGCCCGCGCCGCAGCTTTTCCCCAGCGGCGTTTGCTGCCGCGCCGGGGCCGGTCAGCTGCGCCTCCCCGGCGTGACCGCCGGTGTCAGCCTTGGCGGCCGCTGTGGTGCGTGCCGGCCCGCTTCTCCTGAAGCTCAGCATCTCGGCTGAAGCGTGCTGCGGCCGAGCCATGTAATACCCCCTGCCCTCCCCGGTGACAGAGTCGTAGTCCCGGAGGTGGCCGCTGGCCGGGCCGTGTCCCGCGGGAGCTCCTGCACAGCCATCCCCGCACTCCTCCTTGCCGCCAGCATCCAGGCGTGGCGTTACGTGTGGCTGTCACTCGGATCCAGAGCCCTTGCATCCTTAAAATACCATGGGGTTTAGTCAGCGCGTTGTCTGTTGCTCCTCTGTTTATTGGAACAAGCGTAGGAACAGATACTTATTTAGGAAGTCAGCGCTGAAGGTGCCATAGCTGCTACGGATGCCTGCGATGTTCTAAGTTAGATGGAGTTTAAAATCCGTGTCTGTTCAGCAGCACTAAAGTTTTAGCAGCAGAGTCTTTTTAAATGTTGTGTTAATGAAAAAGTGCAGTGTTGAGGAGTGATAAACTTGGTTGGATAAACTAGCGCAGAAGAGAACAGCTGAATAAACTTAGTACTGATGTATTTCAGTAAAAACTTCTCCAAACATTATTACATTACTGAGATATATTAGGTCTTGTTGTCCACTAGTTGGTAATGTCCCAGGAAAAAGATTACAAAATGCTAGTTTTCTAGCTTG